GATTTGTGAACTGGAACCCGGTCTTTTCCGTGATTGTGATTCCTTTGTGAGAACCCTCCAAGGAAGATTGGACATACTTGCAGTGAACGTGCACATGGACAACGACACTCACGTGGAAAATTACGATGACCTTGAAGACGAGCCAGCTGGCGTGCCGAGAGAGACTATTCCTCAACTGACCGGGAAATTGCAGAGGCAGGCTATTTCTGAGAAAGAAGGTAGCAGTAGTTCAAATGCAGAGCAAAAGCAGAAGCAGAAATGCAGCACATGCAATGCTGTTGTGGGTGATGCAAAAGAATACAGGGAGCATTTCAAGAGCGAGTGGCACAAGCATAACCTGAGGAGAAAGACGAGGCAACTTCCACCTCTTGCTGCTGAAGAATGTACGGGTGACTTGGAGCTCGGTGACTCGAAATCTGATCTGAAAGACTATTCGTTTTGAGGTGGGAAGATGAATCTTTGGTGGTGCACGGTAAATCTTTTTCTTGTATCTTTTGTGGACTTGACGATTCTGTGAAAACGCGAAGTGGAAATATTCGTGTACGAATGACGTTCATTTTGGAGTGTTCCTTCGAGTAGTTTTTTGTCGCCTCTTGTGTTTTTTTATATGTTGATTGAGGAAGTTGCTCTGAAAGTCTCACCCTCAAGACACCTAAACTTTATATTTACCCTGTTTTTTTATTCAGATACCATTTTATCAAATTGTTCTCATCATATGTTATACTCAAACTTTCCTACGAAAACAGACCCGGTATTTTGTCTGCACTGCACTACCAGCTATTCAGGAGACTTTCAAGTTTCAACAATCAAACTGTAGGTTATAAACACCATTACCACCAACCCCAAAATTCTGCTTAACCCGACAACAAAACCACTATTCACGTGTTTTACGGCACCTGTTATCTGCAAGTTAGAAGACGTTATACTCATAGGCAATGAACTCAAGTGCCTTGCAAAGTTCCCACCTAGTAAATATAGTTAGAATACTAGTTGATAACTAGTATGCTAATTGATTGTTTACGAGTAAGTTTCTGGCTTATAATTTATAGCTAGTACACTAGTAAGTTAATTGATTGTTTATGAGTAAATTTCTACCTTATAATTTATAGCTTTACTAGCTACTCTGAAGCATCGCCCAAGGATTGAACTGGAAAAGAGACTCCAAATGCAAATTATTATCAATTTCAAAGCTGCCCGAGAGATTCTGTATAATTTTATTTAATTTTTGGTAAAAAAATATTAACTGGCAGATTGGACACAAGGATCACATAGGGCATTTTGAAGAGCAAATGCACAGCCTGAGATGAACTAATTTCATGTAGATAAAAGTAGATAATAGTGATGGATTGATTGGTTGTACACAAATTCCCAACTACTAAAAATTCTACAACAAACTCAAATTTGAAGACAATGGGAACTATATATACGGTCGCGTATCCAGGGCGGTTGAAGCAGGTCACAAGGATTCACAGATATCTCGAAAATCAAGCACGAAAATACAAACTCCTGCTCAGCTCCATTTTCAGCCGCTGCCATTCCCCTCAAATCAGTTAGCCCCGTCCGATAAGCTGTCACAAACGAGGGCTCACGTTCCAAGTCGGCATAATTTTACAACACTTGCTAGACCAATCACATAAAAACCAACCAAAGGCAGCTATATGAGATGGGTTCTTCCTTCCTTTCTCCCGCTCACTTTCCCAACGCTGCACAAACAGCTACTAACTACTATACTTTAGCCCAAACACCACACGACGAAAACTAAAAAAACAAAAAAAAAAAAACAAAAAAAACAATAAAAAGAAATAAAAGAAAAAAAGCCTATCTCATGGAGATGTTTTCCAATCAAACTGTAGGTTGTTAAAACCGTTGACCGCCCCAAGACCAGCAAGTAGCTGGCTACTACTCATATCCTGTTGCTGTGGATTCATAATCCCCTGTTCCCGACCAATCCCCACCCGCCCGTTATTATTACCAAGGGCTGCCCGGATCCCGTTGACCAAGACCGACTGGCCCGGCCCATTCTGCATACCTCCAAAGCCAGAAACCCCCATACCACCACCATTACCAACACCACTTCCCATGAGAACATTGCCGCCTGAACCTGACGACAAAACTCCATTCACATTATTCTTCATGTCGTTTCCCATCGAACCCAATCCCATCTGGGATGATGACATCATCATGTCGTGTATGATTTTCTGGACCGAGCTCTGGGGGTCGTTTGCATCGTTCGCATCATTAGAAAGAAGGCTTTGTTGTTGACCCGGGATATTCGGCGAATTCACCGTGCTTGCTACTGGACGAGGATTATTATTATTGTTGTTGTTGTTGTTATTGGACGAGGATGGTGTTGGGGAATGGAAAGGGGAAGGAGTGGGGTTAGCCTGCGGCATGGTGCATGATGAGCCACCGGGGGAAGGCATCTGCACGGTGTTGCCTCCATAAGAGGTGTTATTTGGGCCGGGTATTGAGTTTTGGGTGGGCCGAGAGTTCATTGAATTCTGATGGAGGAGATTGGCGATGGTCCCGGTGGATGGAGTAGTGGGCCCAGCTGAGTGTACGGTAGTATTATTGGCACTTGTGGGCTGGATGGGGTTATCGTTGTTTGAGGTTTGGGCCGTTTGGCCCATTGCTTGCTGCTGCTGATGTAGCTGGGCCGCCTCTTGCTGTTGACTATGACTTTGGCCTTGAAATGCAGGTGACGGGTTTGTTCTTCGAGGGAATTTCTTCAAGCTTTCTGGGGAGGGAGAAAAGAAAAGAGAAGAATATGAAATTACCAAATGGAATTATCTTGCATGGGCAATGAGTGTAATTGAAGTAGAAGCAAAAATTACACCTTGGAAATACTGAGATCAGGACATTAATCGCATTTTTTTTTTTCCTCAGAATCGAGGGCTTTGGATATAGTTTTAGTTATGGTGCGACTGGATGGTTGGAGAATAGTGTTGCATTGATTTATGAAGAAAGAACAAAGAATAATCTATACTTATATAAAAAAAGCATTCTATTTACTAGAATTTGTAGTAAGAAAAGTCTAAGGTAATTAATGCATTCTATTTTCATAAGTATTTTATTTAATTATTTTAGTTAATTGTTTTATCTCATAACACCTTTTCAATACAACTTACCATGATTTTTCTATTGTGATAAAAAACCAAATTTTACGTTTAAAATATTGTGAAATTATTATTATTATTTTTATAAAGCACATATTATTTGTTAAAAAATTGTATATATATATATATATATATATAATACACATCACAGTACAATGGTAGATGATTTAAATTTCAACCGACCAAAATGCCAATGATTTAAATTTGAACACACCTATGCATTTGACCAAATGTCTGGATAATTTAAAATTGAGCACATAAAAAAATTATTAAAATTTGAACACACCAGATATTTTATGTATTTTTTATTTATAAATATATTGAAAGTGGTATTTAATGGCTGTTATATAGATTATTTTAATATATTTGCAATGAATAAAAGTTTGAATGAATAATTTGTAATGTTATTCATAATGTTTGTGACTTATGAGACACGAACACATAACTCCATACATATTTGCCAGATGGCGGCTTAATAATTTTTTAGACTTAACGTTGATTAAAAGAGGTAGAAAATAAATAATAACATTATTACTTTTTAGACTTAAACGGACAGTGAAAATAACTCATTTAATATCTTTGTCCCGTGCATCGCACGGGGTACGTACTAGTGAGAGTGAATGGTCATGAGACTAATAAATCTGACGACTCAAACTGATATGATGTAAAAATAACAAAACAATGAATGTACATGATATAGTAGTTTTTGAAAACATGAGAGTGGTGTGCAGTGTTTATGGGAAAAAGTCTTTATATGATTAATGAAGTCAACTTAAAAAAGATTTCGATTAGTTGGTAATTGAATGTGTGAATATTGTCATATAAGATTGTTTTTGGAAAAAAATCTCACAAAAATTTGACAAGTACAAAAATTCTTAAAGTGAAATGGTATTCAAACTAGTCCTATCACATCACAATACCTCCAAAATGAAATTTCTCAGTACAAAAAATTATCAATATTAATTGAAATTTATCTTCCCATCTGATAGTTGTTGGATTGAAGTCCTACCATCAAAATAAGTCGTCTTTAGACCCATAACTATAGGTCATTAGAAGTATTCAACTCAGTGATTTTCTAGCTTACATCTTATGGCGGTTATGGTTAACTTGCTCACTAACAAAACAGGTGAACAGAATTGCAGAGAGAAACCAAGACTCACCCATAGGGCCTGAACCAGTTTCACGGCTGTAATCAATAAGATCTTTCATGCTATTCACCACTTCTGATATCTGCAAGGTTAACAGTGACATTCAGGGCAAATATCAATCGCCACTAGAAAACGATAACAAGAAATCATTTGTTACATTGAAAATTAGCAAGTTAACGACGAAAAAAATATGGCAACTGTAGTTAGTAGCACATGCCAGACAAGCAAACAAGGAAAAAAAAAATCTGAATTTTACTGGTGTTATAAACCAAGTTCTGAACGCATCACTTTAACCTAAATCAACAATCAACAATCAATATAACAAAGTAAATGAAAATAACCAGTTTTCAATAAAATCCGCAATTACATAGAATTCATCCTTTAATAAATTCTGCCCAACCACCGGTTTTACGACTCAAATCTCAATCAGTAAAGCACCTGACACTTGTGTTTGATACATGAACTAAATCTACTTGACATGAACTTGTAGTTACTGGAAGCTGAACTCAAAAATTGTTTTCAATAGCTGAAACAGGAAGAAATAAGATCGTACCTGCAGGCATCGCACATATCTCTTTGTATATCCCAAATCATTTACCAATGGAACTTCCAAAGCTTTGGCCAGCTGACGGGCTGAAGCAACAAACCTGAATCCCCAAAAGAAGAAAAGAAAAAGGAGGTTGATTATACAATTAATACAGCACAAGAAATTTATTAAAAAAAAAAAAGCTGCTACAGATTCCAAAAAATATACAACAAATTTATCGGACACTAGACTGATGTTGATGAAGAAACTAATGAAAAATATAAATTACAAGATGGCCAAAACTGGTCTAGTCTAATTGATTGCAAAGATAAGTTTCGACCCTTTCCACACAATATTTCTCCACTATTGTACTTGTTGAGTTGACTAGTCTAGAAATTAGAGAAAAATGAAACCAATAAATCCATTAGTCTATGGTTGGTATATACAAAATACATGTCAAGTTTGAATAGTCCAGCACATGAACAATAAGAATTTACCAATTTAAAGTACAAATTCCCTAACAATCAAACCTAGACATGTCTTCCATTCACTGAAAATTATAAGGCTTCAATAGTCCAGCAACTTAACTTCACAATATAGGGATAAATTACATCCACCACCTGCTTTGGTACCACCAAGTAATATTTTAATATTCACTTGGCTTACACCAGATGGAAGGCAGAAGGCTCAACAAATTAAAGAAACAATCCAGTTCAACATAAGGAGAAAAAAAAAAAACAGAAAGTTATTACTAAAAGAATGCGAATTATATATTGCCAAAAGAAAGATCCATATGA